TGAGTGGGGCCCATGCACAGAATGCCTTTGCTAGTTGGGGTGGATGCAGAAATCGTTGTGGACAAGCTTGAGGCATTGCAGTCTATTTTAGAACTGGGAGGGGATGTTATCCCTTTTCCCTTTTTCTGCTTTCCTCTTTCCCCCTACGAAAAATAAGAAAAGGAAGTCAAGCAAATTCTCAAAACTATAATGAATATTGCTTTCTTCTAGAAGTATGGACCCAATGAAATCTCAAATCCTTGACTAAATCAAGGAGTTTCCCTTTAATTTTATTTTACATGACACTCCAGAATCCTGCATCAGTTTGCTAGACTGTAGTCCTTGTTACTGAAAAGGTTAAAAAAATTCTTTTCCCATTTTCAAAAAAATCCATAGAAGATTAAACGCAGAAGTGAGTAGATTCAAGATGTACATATTCACTAAATGTTATATTGTGCAGTTAAAATCTAGCATTTTCTTTGGCCCACATTTACTTACATCCATGCACATATTAATCAATTAGAGCCACAGTATCCTAAAACCCCAGTTACTATAGTGCAAACATAGGAATAGAACACTGAACAAGTATTCTTGGAGAGGAAAAAGCATAACAAATATTTGGATAAAAGTTTATGTCCACTGAGGATGTAAAAGGAACAGAATAAACTACTTCCCTTTCCTTCCATCTGGCCAAGAGGATCTTTTCTGTAAATGTGTCATTTCTCCTGTGTGCACCAGTATTCCCTTCATTTATCTTTTCTCACCTGATCATGTCCCAGTTGAAGGGAAATTTTCATATTTCTCTAGATTTTACAGTCCTGCCTAGATTTATTACAACGGTATTGTAAGTAAACAAAAGTACTTTGCACTGAGATAGCAATCTTAAATATAAAACAGAAAAACAAAATCAAATCTAGCACTTTATCCCATCGAAATAATTGTCATTGAACTGCTTCAGAAGGTAACTCTTTAATCACACTGACTAATGCACTGAGCTCCTGCTGCACTTCTATGCATTCTCTTGTGCATTCTCTTCCACAGTGACGTGGAATTCCGTGTTTCATGGAATTGCCAACTGTTTCACCTGTTTTTGTTCCCCTGTGTGTATTCTGTCCCTGATGGACAACTGCCTCAGACAATGCTGTCAATAGAGCTACGGCTGGTGAGTCTCTTCAGTCTGTCTGAATCAATTTAAAGAAGTCAGATGATAGAATTGCAAGGAATGTATGCTTTGTAAGGTAACACTTTGTTTTGCAAACTTACCCAGATGGTTTCTGTAGATTGTAGTTTGTGAGCTTAGAGCTGAATCAACAGGATATCCCTCACCTTGTCCTCTTGATCTGTAGGAGTAGGTGCTCATTCTACCCTAGGGAAACACATATGGACCAAGTTCTATAGGAAAGCAAAAAGAAAAGAGATATTTCCTCTCCCTGGGAAAAAAAAAAAACAAAAACAAAAACAAAAAACAAACTACAACAAAACCAAAAACCCAACCTAACACTGTGACACTCATACAGTTAGAAAGTGTCTGAGTGTATTTCGACCATGTGGAGCAGCAAAAAAGATTGAAATTAAATTAAACATTATAACATTTTCTCATTTTCTCCTGTTTAAATCTCTGCATGAGTGCTTTAAGGTCATTATTCTCACACTGGTTAAATTAGGCACCTGTAAATTTTCATTAACAGAAATATTACTTTGAATTTAGCTTGGAAGAAAGCAATTTGTTATAATGTGTGAAAGATAACATTTTATTAATTGCCAACTCAGTAGCAAGTGCAAAAGAATGGGACTCATGAGCTCTAAGTGTGTGTCTAGTTCCTTTCCCTGGAGGTATTATCTTATTTTTAGTGATGAACATATTTGAAGTTCTGCCATTTGTCTGGTAACTGGAGTCAGATGTACTGGTGGTGGTACACAAGTCTTCCTCTTGGCTATGTAAAGACTCAGAGATGTTCTGGAGCCTCTTTGGAGGTGATAGTTTTCCTGCTACATAGATCTTCCATCCATTAGGAAGAAAGCAAGATTACATGATAAAAAGTGTCTTCCAGCAGCTTTTGTCCCTGATGAGCTCTGCAGAACTTGTTCTTGGAATAATTTTCTGTTCTCCTCAGCTGTCCTAACTCTTTTTTTAAAGGGAGAGTAACTCAGATTTGTCTTCTGTTTCTGTGACATAAATGTATGCCAGTTTATATCTCTTTAGTTCAGTCTGCAGTCCTCTTTCTGCTAAGAGGAATCCATCACTATTGCAACAAAAGGTATTAAAAAAATACTCTTTTAAGGTCTTAGTTATTTTTGGTATATGATGAGCTTCCATTTCTGGTTATCCCCAGTGTGCCACCTAGGCACAATCTAACTCAGTGTTACAAGCTTAGAAATAGCAAAACAGGTTTATTTTTATATACATGACTTCATTAGTGATTTTCAAAGATAAATGCCACTCCACCATTCTGAAAGGCTTGGCTCAGATGAAGGCAGATGCAGATACAAAGATGCTTGTGCTGTGCACAGTACCAAGATTTAATTTCTGTTGAGTTTTTCTTTCTCTCTGCTTAAGAAATTTGTGTTGTTCTTTGCATGTTTTTCCCAAAAATGAATGATTCAGAGCTTCCTTCTTCTACAAAACAAAAACAGTGTCAGCCCACAGCACAGCATGTGAGCAGCCCAACAATAATAAGGTAAAGTGTACCATGTGATGGAGTAAAACTGCTGATAAGAAAAATATTTTCAGTGACTAGTTTGAAATTACCAAATTAATCCTGTTTCCATTATAGTCAGTATTGACACACCCATTATTAAAAAGAAGACTAAGTGGTGGTTTGATTACAATGGAAGGCCAAAAAAACTAAGCTTGAAAGGCTCTTTGTCCCTAGGGGAGAAACCACAATGGCCTTTCTGGAAGTTAACAGCTGGAAGTTGAATGTTGTTAAATTCAAATGAAAAGCATCTTCCTATCAGTGAGGATGCCAGAGCAGACTCCCAGGGGAAGAATTACATTCTCTAACTTTTGAATCTTTTACCCTGAGCTTGGATAGTCTTGATGCTGTAGTTTAGCCAGGATAGCTAACTTGTGGCCAAATTTGTACTTTAAGTGGTCTTAAACTTATTACAAGATGCTGAGGTATTTTGAGATTTGTAGGGAGGATAAAATAGGAGGTCAGACTCTTCTGGTTCAGACAAGGTTGCTACTATATCTGTAGAAAGAAGGAAAAGGTCCATTCCTGCATTCTGTTCTTCAGTTCTATCTCTGTTTTATGTGGGAGTTTAAACCAGGAGAGATAAAGATTCCTTTAGAAATTCATTCCTACTATTCAGCAAAGTGGAGATAAGGACCATGTGTATTAATTACTAGGGTAACACTTGAATACTGCTCTTTTAACCATATCAGGAGTTTACGTGTGTGTCACACCCTTGCGTGCATGGCAGGCATTGTCCTTGCCGCCCCAAAAGCAGGGCCCAGCTGGCAGCCGGGGGGATAAGCTGGTGTTAAGCCATCAGTCAGTTTCTATGCGCTGGTAAGTGAGGCATCGGGCTCGCAGCGAGGCTCACCCTCAGGGCAGCGTATCCCAAATATCTTACATACCTGTCTTAAGTGGCTGCTCTTCACCACTGATTATAGGAGGAGATTAAACAATTGACTATGAATAGCTGCCCAAATCTCAAATTTTAAATTTCTAATGCCAGGTGAGACAAATCTTGCTGGGGAATAATGCCTTTAAGTGCACACAGCCTAATTCTGCCAAATGCTGGCAGTGCCTCCAAAGTAAGAGCAAAGGAAATCCTTAGGAAATAGTTTGAGATCTAAGGCTGTATTTAAACAAATAATATAAGTACTCTCACTGAAGTAGAGATAACTATATGTGTGAGGAAGGAAGCCACATTTTTTTCCTTGAACTCTAGTATCCCACCCCAGGTATCCCAGAGGAATAAAGGAAATACAATTAGGTAACTGTATGATATGTTACCACAAGCAAAATGTTCCTTCTTGAGTCTATTAACAATAAGCTTAAGCCAGAAGCACAATATTGTTTTATCTTCACTATTATCTTGTAGTGCATATGAAAATACAAATAACACAATGGATAATTAAATTATCAAGATATTTCTTAAAATCAGCAGTTGTATTTGCTTTGATGATTCCCCAGGGCAAACAACATACTACTTGCCTAAATGTTCCACTGAAAACTGTAAAAAATTGAAATGGTTTCTATTATTTTTGATGTTGCTGGTATTTTTTCAAATTTCATTACTCAGGTTATGATTTCAAGTTTTACACATTAGAAAATCTATCTGCTATTCAGAGCTTCTGACATAAAGTAAATTTTACATAGTCCCAGTAATATAATCCTAGTCATTGTCATCTCTTTATTGAATACTATCATGTTTCCAGTACTTTCTTGTTCTTCTGACATTTTTTTTAATACATTATTGTTTTCCTTTCTCACAAGACCTAATTTGAGTTCACAAAATATGTGAAACCTTTTCAGAAGTTGCACTCCTACTTTCTGTATGTTTCTATATTTTGAAACAGATATTTTTGTGATGAACCTGCATCCTATCTCAAAAGCCACGAGGCTTTTAAATGTTTCTCAGAACAGAGAAAATCATGTTGGTTTAGTTGTTATAGCTACCTGAGACAGCAACAGAAAAATCAGCAGCAACAACTTGCTAATTATTTCTTGGTTGTTACATCAGTTAGATTTTTCTGTAAGTTCTGCTATGAGGCATTATATTTTTTCAAATATTATATATAGGCAAGTGGCTGAATCTTAGTTTCTTGAACAACAGAAATATCTTATATTGCAAAAGCTAGCTTTTGCCAACTTTAAATTAATGTGGAATATGAATGCAATTAATCTGGAACCATTTGCAAAATTTGTCTAAATTAAGGAAATTAATTTTTTATTGATGTTCTCCCTCTGAGTAAACAGATAGAGAAAGATCATTTTCCTAGGAAATAAGAGAAGTATATTCATCTGTGTCTTTTTTGGGAAAGGATTTGACCTATTATCTTCTGACCTGCTGAAGGCTGGTTCCACATTGGCTGGGAGTTATTCAGGTGAGATTCTCTCATTCCTTCTTGGTTAGAATTTTTGTTCATATAGCTGATGATTTTTGGACAAGACAGGCTTTCATCCTTGACAGGAATTTGAACAGGTACCGACCTGTTTTGTGGGAAGCCAGTCAGGCTGTGGAGTCATTATTACCTCTTTGATGGCTGGCACAATAATGTTTTGCTGTTCCATGCAAAAAGTAGCATGTCGGACAAAAGGAATTGAAGTTGTAAGGCTCGTAGGTTGCAGGATGGAAGGATGTCACACACCCCAGTGAATGCACTAACTGCTCATCCATGAGATAAGAGGGATCAGCAGACTCTTTCAGAAATCCATCCCCTTTTCTTAATTTTTTCCCACAAATATTTCGCTGCATGTAAATGAAGCCTTCTTTATGACATGAAAGAATGTGGGTTTAGTGTTTCCTTTTTGTAAAAAGAAACTTTAAAATCTCTTTAGTTTACTCTGAATTTTTTAGGTTTTGTTCAGATTGATTGAAAACATATAAAAGTTAGGGATTTTTTTACAGATGCATTCACTTTAAAATATACTGATGAGAGAATTGACCATTTAGTCTCCCAATTCCTCTTCATAAATCTGGCATACAAGTTAAACAAGAGGCTTACTCTCCGAAATGTCAAAGGTTTGTTGGGTTTTTTTCTTTGTTTCTGAAAACAACCACTGTTTAATTTCTTCAAGCACAGTTTTGCTGCAAATTCTCTATGGGAAATGGTCCACTTTGCAATCATTCACATGTGCACACTCTCTTGGAGATTAATTTAGTTGCTGCAGAAAACTGAGAAATACCCTTTAACTAGTTGAGTAAGGCATTGTATGAGTGGTTTTGGCTCTATTTTTCTTCATTATGAAGGTTCAGAACAGGGATTCTACTTGGTTAATATACAAAGAGGAAAAAATTACCACTACTTTTTTAGGAGAAAACAATTTTCCAAATGGCCATTAGAGAAATGATCAAATGATCCACTTGTTTTATTTAAATGCTTTGGAAAATCCTATTTTTCAAAAAACATGCTGGAAATATGTTGTGGGAAGACAATTTCAGACTGAAGGTTCTGTTCCAGATTGCATTCACACTATGTGGTTTGAGCAGCCTACCTGACTTGCTTTGCTATTAAAAAAATGCATTGGATAGGAGCTATCAAAACACAATATACCCCCCAAAAAAAGCATATTAATAACATTTTTCATGAGCAAATGACATACTGGTTTATAAATGGTTCACAATCCTTACATTTAGATGATGAATGAACATGAAATTTAGCATTGAAGAAAATGGCAAAACTCTCTTGAATTTCAATTGGGTCCTACTCTGGGTAGTGAGTTAGATATAAAGGAAAAGGAGAGGAAAGTAGACTAGGAGAGGACAGAAATTTTGGGTAAAATAAATACAGTTATCTTAATTTGAAAATGCAAAACCTCTTTTCCACCCATTTTGTCTGCCATTCTTTTTTAATCGCTGCAGTCATATATATATTTATTAAACACTTTAGGATCAGCAAATAGTACATATAGTATGTCAGAAGTCCATAGAAGTCACTGAAAGAAATTATACTGACCCACAAGAACATTGGACTAAACCCAGAATCCTTAAGGGAAACTATTTTTACAGAAGTAGAATCAGTACATATTTGTTTTCTTGATGAAAGAGGGTAAGGAAAGAGGAAAGGAAAATAAATGGTTGTTCTACAGATGTTGTTGATGCTGTTTCTCTTTTACAAATAGTTCCATGAAATAGAAATACTTCATGAAGAACTGGGGTACTTCAACATCTGCTGGCATTCAAATGGAGTAGAAGAGGTCTCCTGCATGCATTATTAGTGCTGACCATTTAAAGCTTCAGACCAGAAAATATAAATGTTTCAGTAAATGAGAGGATCAGAGTAAAGAAAATCAACAGATCAAAGAGAGACCATATGGTCAAAGACACTCTTTTGTGTAAAGTTATGTCATGGAGAGATATTTTAATGTGCAAGGAGGTGTTGAATGCTGTGCTTGAGGCAACAGTGTGATACAGAAGCTGTTTCTATTTATATGGAACTATTTCAGTGCCTCCAGGACTGGAATAGTCATCCTGGGTTACCAAGGGCTGCTGACCCGGAAATTTATGAAAGACATTTCTGTTTGGAGAGTCCTTTGGAGAGGTTGCTCAAATTAGTTGACATCTTTCTGAAACAAGCAGCAGTTGTGTGTGCAAGTTGGGAGAAAATGCCGCGTTTCAATCAATGCTTACTTTCTCATGGGAAGAAAGTGTGTGAACGGCTCAGAAAGGCAGCAGAGCCTTTGCATCTGTGTCAGGGCAAACGAAAGCTGGCAGTCAGGTGGCTCCCCTTCTCACAAAAGGAATGACTTGAGTAAGGTAATTACTGTTTAATATTTCCAACAGGATGTTTGAAGGGAGCATTTAATTATCCTGCCAACATCTATTCAAATAAACATGAGGGATTTAGAACTTTTTTTTTTTGGAGTTACAGGCTTAAAAGGAATGCCAAACATTCTGGGGCACTAAACCTCTTAGATCTCCTCTGCAACGTGGCATAGTAACACATTTCTATTGACATTTTGCCTTTTACATGAAATGATACCTACCCTACAGAGCACAGCAGTGGTGTATCCTGCCTCCTCTTTCACCTTCCTAAATGCTGTCTTGAAGCTCTATCAAAGAGGCAATATTTTCAGTAGAGCCCACCAATGCATATATTTTATTTTAAAGCACAGCCATCGTTGAGATATTCTTCTCATGGGTTAAATCATGCTGCTAAGTGCCATACTGTGGAAATTGCCAACTGAAAGCAGCCTTATGAACACCTATCAGGAAAAGGTTAATACTTGTCTCCTTTGCACGTGTAGTCACATACATAAACATACACATAGGTGTAGGGATAGTAACTTTTGCTAGCTAACAAAACCCAAACACATAGTAAATCTGTTTCTGACCTTGCTCTATCTGCCCACATCTCCTATTCCTTGTTTTGTTATTTTTTCTTGAAACCTTTTTCCTGTTGCCTTAACTGCCAGATCTTCAGGGTTCAGAAGGCTGGCCCTCAAGAAAAGTGTTACACAGCCTGCTCAGTTTTTCCTTTTTAAATCAGCTGAAAGATTCTGCATAAGATCTCTCATGAAACAGTAGCATCTTAACCCCAAAATGCAGACATCAGTCACCATCCAGTGAACACACATTGGGTGAATGAGCTCTGCAAGATGATATTGTTTAGAATAGAGATGTGAGTCTGACAGACAAGAGCAAAAGAAGTCAATGCAGAGAAAGTCAAGAGTGTGTGATTAGACAATGAGGAAAGCTGGCTGAGAGACACTCAGAAAAGAGTTCTAACTCTTTCCAAGGAGTGGGGTACAGTGATTGTGGATATGATCTGCAGGGGGCTAATTTTCTTTTTATACCTGAAAACAAAATAAATATTTGACATATAGCTTTAACTTCTTTTCATAATTGGAACAATTGTCAGGCTTAAGATTTTTTTTCCTAACTGCTCAGAACAAATAAATTAGCCACATTATCTTTGTTACTGTTAAACTTATTTAGGAAGAACAGTAATCTGGTTCTTAACAGTAAAAATCAATATACCAAAATTCAGTGTGATCCTTCCCCACCCCTAGTAGTCTAAACATAAACTCATCTAGGGCTAGTCTTTTTATTTAGTAATTTACATTTAAATACCAACACCACAGAGTACCTAAATATTTTTAAAGAATAGAAACTAAAAGGATTAATGTGTCATTGACCTTTGACATCACTTGGATTCTGATTTGCTAGATCTTTTTATGGATGAGAAATAACTTTACAAGTTAAGCACAATCCAAAGGGACCTTGTCTAATAGCTACTGGAGATCTAAAAGCAGATTTCACCTCCTACAAAAACTAAGTGAATATAAAATTTGAGAGGATGGTTAATCTCAATGGGAGAGGGGAAAAAGGGGGAAAGGAGATCAGAACAATGAAGACCATGAAAAAAAATTGGAAATGGGGCAATTCTAGTGTCTTCTGCTATTGTGTTGTCCTCTCAGTATGTAAGGAAATAGAAAATGGATCTATATATGGTGGTGCCCAAATACACTCTTCTTGGTGTCAGCTCTCTGCAGTCAGCTAAGCATTAAAGATATATTTTCTAATAATTGAGTAACTCAAAGTGCCTTATAGTTGTTCGTTACAGTTCCTTAAACAGATGAGAAAAAGGAAAGACAACCAGGGAAAAATACAGTAAAGGAAATGCAAGGCAGTGGAGATCTCTGTAAAAGTGCAGGACTTAGGCATGCCTCAAATCTGGGTGCTCATTTAAATGTTCCTCTGAATTTTGTACATTTTTGTGTGGGTTTATGTTTTAAGATGTGTTGTTCTATGAGCTTCCAGTATAGTTCTGCAACAAGGAAGGTTATTCATGCATCATGTTGGTGGGTCTTGCATGTCCCCGTAATATAAGATTCACTCAGCTCTCTAAAATTTTAAAATTAGTTTTATGCATATCTACCCCTCTATTTACCAATATAGAATGAATGACACCTGATTTTGTTTATTGCAGGAAGTCACTGTAGGATTTATATTCATTTCAAAAGATTACAAGTAAAAGAAACTCATTATTAGTGAAGTGGAGTGGAAGTCCTTGAAAGGCAAGAATTAACTTGTGCAGTGTCCTTGAAAACTCCTGTTATGTGGGGGTTAATAGGAGCCATAGCCTTGAAATCATATGCATTTTCCCATTTGAAAAGGGTATTTCTAAACACCTTTTTAACTCTTTTATTACTGAGATAGCATACAATGTTGAAACTAAGGACACAGTCTGTAATTTTTGTTGTTGTTTTGTTCTCTATATGTGGCATGTGGTTTGAATTTTAAAGCTTACTTCCTTTTGGACTAATGAGCCTCTGAAAGTGATTAAAAAGAAGAAAGACAGGTTAAGCCAATGACATTTTATCAGAGGAAACACTATCAAATCCAGTGCATGAAAAACTTGTAGGTTCCCAAGATTTCTCACAGTAAATTTTTTCTTACTGCTAGAGTAGTAATTAGAAACTTAAGGCATTAAAGGTTTGTCAGACAAAAGGTAACTGTCTCCTCTCTGCAGCTTCTTCAGGCTATCAAAGAAGGGAGTGGGGGAGCAGGGAGGAGGCAAACTCGTGGTGAGCCCAAGCATGTCCAGGCTGTGCACTTTGTAATGTGGATACAATGAAACCACATAATAACAGTAAAGCCCATATAATAACTGTAAGGTCCATATAACAAAGTCCTGTCAATTGCTGTATGCCTTTCTCCATGTCTGGAACTGTTCCCATCCTGAATCTTGCTCCTTCACAGATGTGAGCTTCAGAGACCTTGCTCACAGGAGCCTCTTTGGTGTCTCTCAGTGGGCTGTGTAGCTGAGTAACGCTGGTCTGAGTTGGACACTGTGTTCTTCAGATCTGTGCCTGGGGGGAAGGTGCATAACTGTACTGTCCTTGAGCTGGCTGAGACCGCCATGCTCTTCTTGAGAGACTGGCAATAATGTTCATCTGATTTATCTTTGCCATCTAATGGATAGACATTTGGGTTAAGAGGTAATTTGGAAGTTTTCAGTGGAGAAAAACAGATGCCTCCAGTGGAAGCTTCACCCTATTCCAAGAGAGCTGTCTAAAAGACAAGGCCTAAACTGCCATTTAGAGGTCATTTTCTCTCTCTAATGCATGTGCAGACTACATTTTAGTAATCTGCATTTTGCTTTGCATGCCAAAAATTAAGCAAGATAAACTTTGCATTTGCTGACCAACTTCTCTTTATTTTTAACATTTGAAATAGTATTTCTTAAGTTTTAATTAAAACTATAACAGATAAATTTTCACCATTTCACATCATGTATCACTTATACACAGTAATGTAGCTTTTACAAATTTTTCCTCTTAAAGTATCCTTCAATGATAAATATTTTTTTGGCACAACTACTGCAAGTTGCATAAAATAAAGTAAAATAAAGCATGGCTAGTAAATCACTTGAGTAACAACCAAATAAGGACAGGCTCTTGTACAATGCCAAGCAGAGTGTTTGCCAAGGACATGAATATCAATGTATTTTGCTTTCATGCTCTTTTATCTTCATTACATATGCGCTTGGTCACTCATGCTAGATCTGCTATTACATGTCACTGTATATGAACACAGAAAAAAGTTCCTGAAACAAAAGGGAAACAAGCCACTACAGAGGTGAAACGTCCAAATCCCCAGCTACAACTCATGTTTTCCTTTTTCTTGTCAAAGACATTCATATAATCTCTAAACTTGTATCCTTATTAAAAATAAACTTGAAACCTTTCTCTAAAAATAAAATCCCTTAGCAGTAAATGTAAAGAAGTAAATCTTCTTTCTTAATTCTTGTTTCTAATTTGTTCGAAAGCTTGGGGTATATTGTTGTTCCTTTAGTTTAAAATCATATGAATATGAAAGAATTAATAATTTTTTTACCCTTTCCTTGTGTCAAACATAAACTAAACTATATGATTGTAACCAAAAAAATATACTGCTCATAGCTGAATTCTCTCCTTCTCACAAAGATGTGATAGGGTCCGTATCTGGGTGAACAGGGAACAGCAAACCCTTTGTGGTTTGCAATGACACCCATGGACACAGCAACTGAGGATGAAATGTTGGCCTGATTATGCTCAAGTCAGTCAGTGGGATAACATTTACTGCCTCTAGTGCAGTTCTGATATCACACATGGTATTAATGACTGTGTACACCTGCTAGCATGGATGCATATGGCTGTCCAAAACAATCTTGCACAATTGCTGTCTCAACAGCCAAAAAGCTGTAAAATTGCATGACTGTATTATTTTCTCTACAGAAATAAAATTTCCTCCAGACAACTCATAGGGGTTTGTTCACCTTTTTCTCTCTCTCCTACTTGTAGTAGAAGACAAATTGCCCAAGTATCTCCTGATCACATTCCACATACTTCTGTCAGCAGGAAAAGTAGAATTTAACAGAGAGCCCGGATACCCAGGGTGGTCAAACCCGCCACTTCCAGGATTCAGGGATGATGGAAAAGAACCCCCTGCTTGTCCTCTAGGGTGACCTTCCATCTGAGCTGTCTGGGTTATCACAGATCCATCTGTAAACAAAGGATAGCAGGTTCCCTGGGCAGTGTCAGGATCACACTCAGTGTGACATTGTGTTTGGATGTTCAAAGAATCCCCCTCTCCTTGCTTTCTTTCCAGGCTTAATAGAGGAACTGCTAAAACCTATGTAGCCTGATAAGATGACAAGACAGTCTTTTAGTGTTATTGATTGTATACAAGAGGTGGAATGATAAATTATTTCCTATAATGCGCCCTGAATGGGTTTCATCTTTATGAGAGATGTTCTTGAAATTCCTTATATGAATTCAATTCTAAAACTTCCTGCTGGAAAGAAAAGGGACTTCACTAAGCCAAAGGGCTGGGGTAAAACAAATAAAATCTACCTGATAACAGAAGAGGGAGAACTTTCAGAGTCCATGATCTGAGAGGAATAAAGATGTATAGCATGCAAAATAAACTGTGGAATACTATCACGAGAATGCTGTCAAAATGAACCAGGGGGAAAAGTTGTGTGCCCCTGAAAGCACTCCATGTATATTAAACTTCAAGCTTTCACCACCCTCCTTTATGTGTGGTGGCACAGCTAATTAGCTGCAGATATTTTTTTCTCTCTAAAGTGAAAACCAATTTTATTACTCAACAAAAGAAATTCCTCTAGCAGGCCATAAATATTAGTATCAATCATTTGCCTTGCCCATTCTGTGTCACTCTATATGCAGTCACATGCATCATCATGGTTGGGCTTCGCGAACGAAGATTTGGGAAGGGCTCTACCCACTTTTGTTGCAGGCACGTTGGTGGCTAAAAAGGCCAATATGAGACAGGCATGTCCGGTTGCAAAAGGCACAGCAGAAAGACTCCTTAGGTGGTATATTCTGCAAGGCACAATGCTTTCTGCGTTGTCTTTTCTCCTCAAGAGTGATCCTGTGTGCTTTCTCAAAAGCATCAGCAGCGTTATAGATGGTGTGTCTCCAGGCCTCCCGATTGGAGGCCAGAGTAGACCAGTTATGTTGATCAATATGGCCAAGGCTGAGATGTTGTTTCAGGGAGTCCTTGTATCTTCTCTTTGGGGCTCCTTTCTTGCGGCAACCGGTGGCAAGTTCAGCAGTCACATGCAATACCCAGGATATTGTGTGTAGCTGCATTTTCTATACCTGTTCCTGTATTTGTCATACTCGGTCTCAGCAAAATGGCTTAGAACTGTAAAGTTCCTTATGAAGATACTATCTTCTATATTTATTCTGTGTGAAATAAACTAAATTTAAGCCTAGAACATAAATATCAGGTTTTGCAACAAAATAATTAAGAATGGAATCCAAAAAGGGTGACGCTTTTGTAGTATAAGTCTCTGGGCCTCAACTATCACCTAAAGATTGCTGCTAGTTTGGTTGTTGTGAAAAGCGTTTGATATCAGTGGATAACCTTACAGAGCTACATGTAATTGTACAGTTCAAGTTTAAATAAATGTGTAAGCCTTAGATCTTGTAGCACTGTTGTTTGCACGTTTTGGTATAGGTGATCTTTGGGAAGGCATTGCAAAGGGCAAGGACTGTCTGTTTTCTTTTAAGGAAACTTGTGCTCTTGCCATTACTGTATCACTCATTCTGAGACCAGTTTTGAACTTTCTAGCTTTACTGAAAACCTCTGGGGTACAGAGAGGCTGCAAAGACAATTACTTGTCCTATTCTTGGCCGTTGCTATGATTTTGGATATTGTAAGTTATTTTTTATTATTCACTGTTTAAAACAGTGTTTAAGGAGCTTTTAGTAGGTTTGAAAGAGAGCAGCAGGCCAGACTGAAAAGTTGTTGAGATGCTTGAAGAGCAGCAAGGAACCCAGGTAACAGGGAAGGCTGCAGATAGGTCCAGTTTGAGCTGTCTACTGAGCTTAGGCTCACTGAAGAGGTGTCAGAAACATGTTTGGGAATATAACTGTAAAACACTTTTCTTTGGCTAGAAACAAGCACCAGCATCTTAAATGTCATTTTTACTAAGGGCTTTTTACTCTCCTTTATCTACAGGCTGTTTTTCCCGGCAAAGCAGTACAAGAAAATCTTGGTGCAAAGGTAGGACATCTTTACAGAAACAGAAAGAGGCTCTTTTATGTGCAAAATTGTCTTTAGGAAAGCTTTTGATGGGTTGTGCTCACTAATGTATTTAGTTTACAATATTATTATATACTTGTAATTAATAGATAATTATTACTTATTCTAATTTCACTGCACCGTGAAAGCTTCATTTACATGTTGTTCCTGTTGGTCAGATGTCAAGGAGGTTATCTGGGACCTTCAGACACTTGATCAGAGTTAACTGATGAAAGCCTAACCCTGTTGTCTAAATCTGTCACCTCTCTGACTTTACCACCATCGTTGAAATTGCCAGCAATGGTTGGTCCATAATGAGTGTACTCGGTGGTTTCTTTGTCAAACTTGTTTTTATTGATCCTCCCAAGGCAAGGCACTGTCTCTCACTTACAGATCAGCCTGAGGTATTGTATACCAGGGAATACATCATGACAGAAGAAAATAAACACTGGGGATGAAGGAAGTTCTAACTTTCACAGCCCAGAGGAGAACCCAGATTCTTTGTACTCCCATTAAGTATGAGCAGTGTTAGCAATGAGGGAGTAAGCACTGAGCTGTGGGGAGAGCTGTGTCCCACCCTTCCAGGAATCCTTTCTCATCATATACCACTCTCATGATACAACTCAGACTGATGTACCCGTAGACACAGTTCTGTCTGAAATGCAGTTTGGTACAACTCATTATCAAAACAAATTATGTGTGGTTATTTTTCTACTGTTTTTAGTTTTTTATGTTACTTTAATGCTTTTTGTAGCCTTGAATTCTGTGTATTCACAATGTTTGTTCTCCTCTTAATGAAGCAGAAGACTGCAAGGTTTTTTGACTAACTGATTAAAAGTGCAAGCTGCCTTAGATCCTACAGCATATCTTTCACAATACAAAATTAAAACCATAAAAAGCATAAAGTTTTCCAGGTATTTATCCTTGGTTGTATATGAAAGGTTAGATAATCATATGGCTGGAGCACTGGACTGAAAACCACACTATGAACTTCCTTTTGATTGGAAAGGTAAATCTCAAACTTCTTGATAATCTTGCAGACATTCTTCACATTTATTTATATGTCTCAAAGGGAGGGATCTAGTAATTACGATGACACCAAGCTGAAAGGTGCAGTTGACACAACAGAAAGAGGAGGCAATATCCAGGCAGAACTGGAAAAGCTGGAGAATGTTAAGACATGTTAAGAGGAAAGTCTTTACTCAAAGGGTGGTGAGGCACTGGCACAGACTGCCCAAAGGAGCTGTGGGTGCCCCATCTCTGCAGGTGTTCAAGGCCGTGTTGGACGGGTTCCTGAGCAAACTGGTCTAGTGGAAGGTATCCCTGCCCATGGTGGGAGAGTTGGAACTGGGTGATCTTTGAGATCCCTTCTAAATCAATCCATTCTGTGATACTATTCTATGACTACTGCAGTACAAAATATATTAAATAAATTATAAGGATGATCCAAGGGAATAGTTAAAATTAGTAGAAATTTCAGGAAAATAAAAAAAGATATATTCTCTCCATCATCCTCCAGCACCTTCCTAGAGACTCACACAATGAAATGGAATTAAAAATTGTCATTACCATTCATTAAACAAATGTTTTGATTTACTAGTACATTCTCTGTGCCAAGCAAAGTAATCATAATACCTCGTATAAACATATATAAATATATGTAACTTTATGAATGGACTTTCCTATTCCCTTCCATTTCTACGTAGGATACACATGCTCATTTCCTGTGGTTGTGTCTGCATGCTCAGTGACTTGGTTACTTGCTACAAAGCAATGAAACAAAGTTTTCAACAAGAAACTTTGACATTAATGTCATAAAATGCATGAGATTCACAATGAAAATATGTGAAATTTCAAAACCATTTTAAACCTCAAACTTTTTCTTTTTGCATTTATTATTGAAGATCAAATAGATTATAGATTTTTCAATTTATATATTTTAAGAACAGATTATTGCTGTGAAGGTAACCTAGCTGAGTTGTACTTATGCTGGAATGAAAGTATGATAACATTTATATCAGCCACAGACTTGTATATCTCTTTTTACCTGTCGAGAAATTTAAAGTATCTTGGTAAACCTGAAAAATCCCACACAGAAATGTGTCAGTTGGTTTTTTACTAAATGTTTCACAACTAAGGTGAACTAGAACAGTTTGTCTGAAGTTCATATTGCTAGTGAAATATCTCATGGGTCAATTAGTGAGGTATAGACAAAACAATCTTTAAGAACATTTAAAAACCATTCCCCACTCATTTACCTGCCAATACATTAGGTGCTCTACTAAGTCCTCAAACACTGTACTGAAGTATACTTTGAGTGCAGAGAACTAGTTTGGTTACACACAGAGTAGCTAAAGTTCCAAGATTAATGCATGTATTTCCAAGGATTTTTTTAACCTGCCTTTTTTTTGCATGAGTAAGGAATGAAAATATTAAATATTTATCTGTATGCTCTGAGTCGAATTCGTGTGCAAACTAGAATTTTTACAATCATAAGTACTTTTTTCCTTTTCAAAAGCTATTTAATTTAACTCCAAACAAAATCACATCTGAGTAAAAAGTTTTTGTAACTATTGTCTGATCTCCCAGTGGGAATCACACTTGTTAGTCTAAAATTGGAAAACTTTCTTCATTAGTGAAGAAAACTGCTGTTTTTTGGGTATATGTCAAAAAAATGCCCCTTTATGTTTTTTTCTGAGAGAAGTATAGTGTTTTTAAGAGAAGAAAAGTTGAGGAGAGACAAGATTTTGACAAGATCTGGACTCAGGACCTAAACTATAAAAAAGCATTTTTGGAATCATGGTAGGTGACTCATTTTCACAGCCTGGAAGTGGAGGTACTGAGTCAGCTGTTGGCTGGGAGCATTGCTGACCAGAAAGACAGACAGGATTTCTCCTTTTAATACCAAATCCAAAGCATTTAGACACAGCCTGAGCAACACCCCACAGACAATGGAGTAGTTTCAGGGCCAACTGACATTTTGAGCTGTGCACAATACACACAGTTGACCCTGAAGGCGGTCAGAGAAAGACAAATAGATACAGAAGTGCAAGGAAATGGAAGGAGGTGGGTATTATTGCCTTTGCTCAAAGTGTTGCAGAATCACAACTCATATGGAGGAGAAAGCTTGAGCAGCAAGGGGAGCATCCAGTGCAGTGATTATACATTTGTGGTTTACGTATAAATAAGACAGTTCCCATATGGCCCAGAACCTCACTTTGGATGCTGATCCCTGTTGTGAGCTGTGCAAATGCATGTCCTAGTCATTGGTGACAAAGGAGAGACGAGAAACTACACCAGTGCATGGAAAACGTTGAGACGCGTTTGGTCCCAGAGAGGCTTTTAAAAACTATCAGAGAGGAATACTCACACTCACACGTAGCTGCCTGTCTTTCTAGGGCACAGCTGATTTCCTCTGGCTGCATTCCATAATCTTTGAACTGACTGTGCCTCCTGTCATCCATCTTTACCACAAGTTGTTTCTTGTTGTGTTCAATGTTGAATGCTGAGCAAGTAATCAGTGCCTTCCAGCCCATCAGTGAAACCCCTAGTAGGTGTTACAATAGAAACTAATGCATCAAATGTGCTACTAGCTTCTCAACACTTAACATTTCCCTGCTAAAAAGAAATCAATATGAAATGTCTTAATTAAGAAAGTCAAAACTTTATGTTATATAGTGTTTCATTGATAATTTTCATCTAAAAATTTGAATTTCTTGCCTGTGTTTGCAGCTTTAGCCAGAGGCAGGCTGATTTCTCTCAGTGAAGGAAAGGAAGAGTTGCAGTATAATTAAAATTAAAAAGTTTCATTCAACTATTCTGTTTTTATATCCATGGGCACCAACAACCTTTTCTTTTCCTATCTCTTATAGCAGCACCATTACCAAAAGCTTTGATGAATCAACATTGGGATGGCATATTTAATAGCTGTTGATGGGTTGTGGGAAATGCAACACATCATAATTCAACAGGTGCAGAAAAGTTATAAGGCTGAAACACAGGAAAATAATCAGAATCTTAGAATAATCAGGAAAATAATACAAGAATCCGTATTTTGCATGCTTTAACTTTTCTGTTAATAGTTTAACACACATAATGAAACATGAGAAAATAAATGTCTGATTGATATACTCTCCCCTTTGCACAATTCTATGGTATCAGGGATTTCTTGGAAATGAATATTTTGATCAATGGACCAACTCAACTTCTCTCAGGTTTCTCATCTTAGTCTACGGAATAAAAACGCACCCAATACGAAAACCACATATGGAGAAATGTATATATCCCCCATGTATATTTGCTCATTTACTCCAAAACTAATAATAAAAATATCACAAAAATGCAAAAGATAATATACCACAAAAATTATTGTTTGTATTAATTATTCACAGTTCCTGATGTTATGGGGCTGGATCCTCTACTTTCAAAACCTGGTGAATGATTTGGTCATTCATGTGGAGACCACACCTTTTGAACTTGTGTCAGATAAAGCACAATGGAAGAATGCAAGAAAAGAAGAAGAGGTAAGAAAAAAAATTGAAAAAAATAGGTGTCATTCAGCTTCCCAAAAGAATTGGCGATCCTGTGTGACTGCATGATCAGAAAATGTGTCCATTACATTTAAATTTGCTTTGACAAGAAAAAAATATTCATCTCTCTTATGCACAGGAATTTATTTTATGTATGGAATTCTTAGAATCAGTACACCAAATACGTGCATTTGTAAATCCTAAGTAAGAAGTATTTATTCCAGGCTAAGTCCAAAACAAGAAAGAGGTAAGAACAATTTGCTTTGGAAACAGTGACCCTAAGTTGCCTGAACATTTTTACATTTCTTTCCTGAAGATCAGACAGGCAAATGACCCAACAAGTTAGAACAGAGGCATGGCTACATACTAAGAGCTAGAATAGCCTTGAGAGAAAATAGCATTTTCTACAGTAACAAGATAATAGAATAGCTGTGTTCCATTGAATACTGATAGCAATATGCTCCTAGTTGTTACTCAGAAGATTTGAAAATTGTTTCTTAGGATACTGAGTCAGTCATCATGATCCTGTCAGTACTTTAGTAGGAATGAACAGCTTCCCTGCGCTAAGGACAACCATGAGGACAGTTTTTAACATAATATTTGTTCTTGCCAATTCTTCAGGCTTTCACTGACTTTTAGCAGTGTGTTGGTACTTTTCTTGGTGCCCTTGGGTTATATTCTTAATGACATACCAATCCATTGAAGCGTTCCCATATTTGGTTTCACCATCTGTAAAATGAGGGAAATAATATATATTTTTCTATGTAATCATTTTATCTTAACATGGGGATCAAGAAACAGCTGTGTAATAGTAGCTGATTACTGTTTGTTTAAATTTATGAAACTACGTTTTGCCTAGGCACCTGAAACTGAAGTAGATTTTTCCTTAAGGATTAATTCTGCATATGACTTTTTGTAGCAGCTTAAGCAGCATGCAACCATTTCTCAGGCTCAAGGCTGTCTCCTAGGCTTTCTTAATCCTTATTACTTGTATAGACCCCCCCAATCAAATTCAAAAAGAGGTAAATCGGGTCAAGATTTTCCCCATTTTTCAGTGCTATTTATTCTGAGCTCTCCCCAATAACATATCTTGTAATAAAACAGCAGAAATGGGATGCACCAGAAATGGAATGCCAAGATATAATGTAGATGTGGCAAAAATAGGTCTTTCTTTGATGCATTTACCCTCATAAAACATTAATTCTGATGTACAGTTTTGCCAAGCCCCAGTTTCTGGAGTATTTACTGACAACCTGCCCAGTTCCTGAAGCAACAGGATTTTTATTTCAAATTTATGACTGTGACAGATTTCCAATGTGCATAATAGTCATGGTTCATCTTTTTTCCTCTCCTTCTGCAAATTTTTTTGGAGTGGGAACGCCCTCGGTTGCTTCTGCTGATTTATGCACTACTTTGTTCTTTATCTGCTTGCACCTCACCAGTAGAATAACATCATGCTATCCTTTCTAGGGTTCACAGGACCCTGTCAGCACTTAGCAATCAAAGGTCAACCAACTTCACAACACATGGTTAAATAGGTTGAAAAATCTCACCTAGTATTAACCCCCTGCACACCAAATGAAGAAAAAGGGTGCTGGCATCACAAAATAAAGCATCTTTACCAAACAGCAGGCAATTTCTGCTGCTACACACTGGCAACACTGTCGAGACGTGTCTGTCCTTCTGATGCCCAGTTCTAGGAGGAGACAGTGAAACCTGTGTTCCTGATTGCCTCTGATTTATGTTTTGCTTTGTTCTTTATCTGTTTAGAAGTATCCAGGAGACCTATCCACATGTTGCTGTCTTGCTTTCATCTTCCAAGCTGTCTGCGACCCGTTCATCTTTCCCTGACACTATCTCTCTGTCCAGGAAGCCCTTCAGTGTGTGTTTCCTACACTCATTTGCAAGATTGCAGAACTCTGGCAATACTTAACACCGAAGCAGCAACAAACTTGCCTAAAATAGTAGAAATAAATCCACCTGATTTCCCCTTGTGAATATTCATATTTTTGTATAATGGACCTAAAGAGAGATGGCAAATGCTTGGCTGTATTGAAGATGATAACTTCATTGGGGATGTAATTTTCCGGCATTTCCACCATTTCTTTTCTAAAGTTTCATGGCTCCTCCAAAAAGTTGTTGTTATACTGAAAAAAAATTATTACAAATGTAAAATAAGTTATGTGGAAGTGTAGATACTATGTTATACATAGCCTCTTTTCCTTTCATTTTGATCACTGGAAGAATTTTGAAGTTTTTAATATAAGAAGTATGTACCATTGAGTTTTTAGTATTTACTCCTGTTTTTCCCATTATGTTTCTTTTAAACGGGAAAAACTTGGAAAGGGAGAGACAAAGGAAAAGAGTGGGAAATAATGAAAAAAAACCCCTGTACATTCATTTACATAATGAAATGTTTTAACATTCTCATTTAGTACATTAAACAATAGTATTAGAAAATAGATCACAGAAAAAAAAGTCAGGCATTTTCAATGAAAAGTGCATTTTGATACAAACATTTAAAACAGTCTAGATCAAAATATCCAGGCTTCATTCAGCTGTCCTGAGGAATAGCTTCAATAATCGTTATTGGCAAAGGTCTTCTCTCTCACGTGTAGGCACTTTTAACCAGAAGCCTAGAGAACTGTTCTGAGGCTGCTGCTGAGTAACACGGAGAGGGAAAGGCTGTGTGGGCTGAACAGATGCCAACCTGCTGACAGCTGACTGGCAGCTTTGAACGGTTCTCTGAAATCAATAATCCTCAATAACTGACAGTATGTGAACTCAGTATTATCTCTGCAGTGGCTGCAGTGCCACTGGAAGCTGAAGACTCTCCGTGTAGACAACCCATGATGATATTCCAGAGGACAGGTCACTAGGCCACAATAATCCACCATGAACGGGGAATAGTATTTTTCACAAATATTTGAAGAACTTTTCAACACTAAAATTACTTGACACTTCAAGATTGCGGCAAAGCAAGCAGGTTTTGGTGCTCTTTCTAACAGTGTTTTAAAATTACAAAATGAAAATCCCACTTAAGTAACTCACAACTAAAAGATCACACTTGGTCCTTTAAAATATCTTCATTTCCAGAATGAGACACTTGGTTCTGAATGACTTATTTATTCTGTGATGCCTTGTAACACACTGGACTACAGTGACCTCTCTTGTAATTTCTGTTTTGATTGTGCTGCCAATCCTTCCCCTCACTCTCCCATTTTTATGCTCACCAACCTGTGAACGGCAATATTTGAATTCTAAGGTTTTGGAATATTAAGAATATGCAAAAATGTAGTGAATCTGTCTCTTTGGATTTCCATGCATGGGTTGAGAAGGCCAATAAGCCAATAAGTCATTCTTTAAAACTCCCACAGTGTGGGAAATTCATTGGTGACAAACATCAGCATGATATTTGAGACACATTCAGACTGTTATGAAACTCCCATTCCTCTAAGGACTGTTTGAGACTTCTTAGCATTGCTAATGCTCTATAGCCTTCATTATCTGCCCAGTCATTCCCTCTATGAAAATCTGTTGCTGCTGTCTTTTCTTACATAAAATTAAATACAATTACTAAAAAATAAAAGCATTGCGAGTCAGACTGGCACAGCACAGTTTATCTGCAAGAGGCAGTAGCAGGTATTATAATAGTTTAGTCTGTGATGCCCTTCACCTTGCATTTGTATGCTCATACTTACATGACATTTTCCATTAATCAACTGGGTTATTTTGCCAGTGGGACTAGGGGATAGCTATGGACATAGAAGAAATTCTGGGCACCTACTTCAGCACTGTGAATTTCTAAATGGAGTAAAACCTTTGATTTGACACCACTATAAATGCTTTTGATTTCAACAGCAAATGCTAAGCAGATACTCAAGCACTGTCATTAGTATTTTATACAGACACAGGCAATATTTGAATTATCTGTGGTCACTCCTCATTCTCACCTAAATGAGCAATCTAGGCTTAAATTTTAGCATCAATTAGCTGTTCTAGAGCTTCTTGTACTTATTGAAACTTATGTTTTTATTTCCTTTGTACAACAGGTCAAAATTTCAACTGGGGAATTTTGCACTGGTACAATTATAAATCCGGTCATCACTTGTTGCAGACAATAGCAATATACAATGCAGATGAGACCCAAACAATGACGAGACCAAAGACATGAAGTGTATTACATAGGAAATTCTGAGAGCAGGTAAAATCTGTCCAGTGACAAAAATTAATACTACACTAATGGCAAATATATGGAATCCTCATTAAATAAAAATAAAATATCATTAGTATCCCATAATGCTGCATTTCAATTACATTTAAAATACAACCTTAAATCAGGAGGTCTATGCTTAATATTAATATTGTTCATTAATATTAATTAATATTTAGAGCTTGTTGCAGTGATTTGTTTATATAATAAATTTTGTTTGGCAGTGAAATCATAAAAAGTCATTTGATATTCTTGTTAGGCCACTTTCTAAGGCCTAAATCTACTAACCAAGGAACAAAGCAGTGCCATGTGCTTTATAGAGCTGGCCATGTAGGATGAAGATTCAGTACTTACACTGATATCTTGCAAACAATGTGTATAGCAGATTTGTTTGCATAACAGAATCATTAAACAATTCTCAACTTTGAGTGAATTTACATGAATCAATCTGTTCATAAACAAGATCATAGCCTTTAGATAATTTTTTTGTTCTCAAACTGACCTCCTCCCTCTGCACTGTTTATGCAGCTATGCCATTATGCAACTATGTCATTAGTTGGTGGCCAAGCACGCATATGGTGTGCCTGATTATGTGCTTCGTTCTCTGAAAAACTGAGGTAATTTTTGCTTGAATACTGTCAAAAATCATAATTAAAAATGATATGAGAATTGTCCAAAAAGTGGGAGGCAGAATCATTAAATCCAACATTATGCATCTAGAC